CCCCCCCCACAGGTTAGTAGCTGCCTCCTAGCCAGAGACGCCCTCCCCCTTCCCCAAGCAGGCCCAAGATGTCCTGTCACAGAATTTATGCTGCCAGCACATTTTAGGGTCGTGCGAGGACATTTAATGTCTTGGTTTCTCATCACCCGCCCTCCTGCACAATCTGGATTCCCGGTCCCTTTCCCAGAGCTGCTCTGCTCCCAGCCCCTGCTCTAACCACTAGAACCCACTCCCCTCCCAAAGCCAGGGAGAGGACCCAGGCATCCCCGCTCCCAGCCCGCTTTGCTAGGGGATTCACACCAATCTGTCCCCCCTGAGTGTTCTCCCCCGGCTCCTGCAGCTCTGAATGGGGGGTGATGGTAGAGACAGAGAGGGGTGTGCGTGTGCGTGTGCGCGCTGCCCCCTGCTGGAGGAATGAGCCCTGGTCTGGGAGCCAGAGAGTCTGACATCCAGCCTGCGCCCATGGCTGGGAACCTGGCCTGGCACGGTGTCTGCGGGCCTGAGATCGAGCTGTTCCTCTGGGCTTTCTCACCCTCACATCCTGGCTTGCACAGCACCCTGGGCACCCCTGCAGAGCGAAAGTGACCTCTGATGTGGGGCCCAGGGTCTGCTTCGACAGCAGCCACCTCTTGGGTGGGGTGCAGGGACCCTGCCCTGCCCCAGCTACTTCTTCCTGACTGACCTGCCCCGCCGGGCAGGGGATGGTCGGAGGGCGCTGGGCTGCCCTGATCAAAGACCGTGACCCCAGGCTGTCTGGGGCCTGTTATCCCCTTTCTGCGGAGAGCAGCTGGGAGAATCATTGCAGTGCTGGGGGAATGAGGGGCTGGGCTGGCAGGGACTGTGGGGTGGGAGGGAGTCAGGGGTAACAGCAGAGCTGAGGAGGGGGCCCACGAGTCAGACACAAGCCCTGCCGTGCGAGTTTGTACGGAGGTCGCTGAGGCTGAAAATCTCTGGGTGAGGGGGGCACCCCTGGCAGAGCCCGCAGACCACAGGGGACCCAGCTGAGAACTGCCCCCCAGAACCAAGGGACAGGGCATTTTTTTCTTTCATGGGGCTGCCCTTTCCCCTGGGCCCAGCAGGTGGCGCT